GAGGAAGAAGAGGACACGGAAGAGGAGGAGAATGGAGGAGGAGGGAGGAAGAGGAGGAAAATGGGGAGGAGGGAGGAAGAGGTTGGGAATGGGGGCGAAGGGAGGAAGGGGTGGAGAATGGGGGAGGAGGGAGGAAGAGGACGAAAAGGAGGGGAGGGAGAGAACTTTTCGAAGTCCTATGCTCCTTCTCCTCCTAAGGATACCCCTCCCCCCCCCCTCGTTTACTCTGCCCAAAATTTTTACGATCATTTCAGCACCCACGACTGTCCTTACTGTTCCGATCCCCTACTTCTAACAACCCCTACAACCCCACCACGACCTCTTCCCCTTAGATGTACGACCCGCGAAGACCTTTTCCTATTCCTACGAACCCCCCCCCCCCCCTTTCTTCCCACGAACCTCTCTTTAACCCCCCCCCCCCTACCTACTTGTACGACCTCTTCGACTTCCCTTCCCTCCCCATTCCCTATAACCTTCCCCTTCCTCTCCCCTACTCCTATGACCTTCTTCCCCATACTCCTCCCCTCCCCCCTTCCCCCTCCCTCCCCCACCCACTCAAAGTTAAATTGCTCGCGGCGTCGACACGAGATTCTCCGCTCCCAATTTCGTGCATAGTTAAAGTCCGAGACGATCTTGTGATAAAGTTGCACCGGGGACGATCTCAGTCTCGGATTAAAGTTGAGGCTAATGAGAGACCTCGTGAATATTTTTATTTATTATTATCTTTTTTTTTTTTTGAAAGAAGCGGCAGGGTTATGGAGGTGTCCTAGATTCCCCGTTGATTTTTGGGATTATGTAAACTTACATGCATATTCCGTCTTTGCAGCTTTGATATGTATTTTTCTTCTTTTTATGACTTACTGCCTCTTCCAGCTTCGTGTTTAGAACATGCTTTGATCTTCTTGCGGAGAGAAAAAGAAGGGGAGAGAAGGGCGTAAATAAATAAATAAATAAGTAAATAAATACATAAATAAATATATATGTTTATATATATATATATATGTATATATATATATATATATATATATATATATATACATATGTGTGTGTGTGTGTGTGTGTGTGTGTGTGTGTGTGTGTGTGTGTGTGTGTGTGTGTGTGTGTGTGTGTGTGTGTGTGTGTGCGTGTGTATGTGTGTGTGTGTGTGTGTGTGTGTGTGTGTGTGTGTGTGTGTGTGTGTGTGTGCGTGTGTGTATGTGTGTGTATGTGTGTGTGTGTGTGTGTGTGTGTGTGTGTGTGTGTGTGTGTGTGTGTGTGTGTGTGTGTGTGCGTGTGTGTATGTGTATGTGTGTGTGTGTGTGTGAGTGTGTGTGTGTGTGTGTGTGTGTGTGTGTGTGTGTGTGTGTGTGTGTGTGTGAGTGTGTGTGTGTGCGCGTGTGTGTGTGAGTGTGTGTGTATGTGCGTGCGTATGAGTGCGTATGTGTGCGTGTGTATGTGTGTGTGTGTGTGTGTTTGTTTGTTTGTTTGTGTGTGTGTGTGTATGTACTTTGTTGTCAATTCAGATGATATATTTAATGATTTGTCTATTCCTCTGTTTCCCAGTTTATTCATTTACGTACGTGCTCACGTTTACCTTCCAATCAAATGACAAATCTTATTATCCAAATCACATTATCGTCGTTAATACTTTCATTAGTGAGCGAAGGTTCAGGATTCGATTGTCAGCAGTGCAATGCGAGGATTCGGACGATGTTATAAAATGCAGTTATTATTTTTCGAGAATATATATATTTTTTACACACACATAAACAGATACACACACACGCACACAAATCCTCTCCAAAACACACACACACACACACACACACACACACACACACACACACACACACACACACACACACACAAACACACATACATACAATCACACACACACTCACACAAATCCCCCCCACCCCACCCCAACACGCACACACACACACACACACACACACACACACGCACAGCCCCCCCTCCTCCCCAACACACACACACACATCAGACATACACCCCTTTCCCCCTTTCTCCCGCCTCCTCCTCCCGTTCCTCCTCCCCCCCCTCTCCCCCTCCCTCCCCCTCCCCCCTTCCCTTCCTTCCCCCCCGCAAATATGTCCCCGCCGAAAGTCTCAAAACGAGTCCATAATTGATCCCTCATTAATGATCACCGCTGATTCAGGCTTTCTACGATTGCTCCGTCTGATTGTACCCGACTTTCAGAAAATTAATTGCCCAGAAGCCCTCTCTCAGCAATACGAAGGGAGGGGGAAGGGGAGGGAAGGGAGAGGGAGGGAGGGGGAGGGAGGGGGAAAGAGAAGGAGGGACGGGGGAGATAGAGGGAGGGACGGGGTAGGAGGGGGAGGGACGGGGAGGGAGGGGGAGGGAGAGGGAAGGAGGGGGAGGGACGGGGAGGAGGGGAGGGAGAGGGAAGGAGGGGAGGGACGGGGAGGAAGGGAGAGGGAGGGACGGGGAGGGACGGGGAGTGAGGGAGGGAGGGGAAGGGGGAAGAAGAGAGAGGGAGAGGGAGGGACGGGGTAGGAGAGGGAGGGACGGGGAAGGAGGGGGAGGGAGGGGAAGGGAGAGGGAAGGAGGGGGAGGGAGAGAGGAGGGACCGGGAAGGGAGAGGGGAGGGACCCGGAAGGGACGGGGAGGGACGGAAAGAGAGAGAGAGAGGGAGGGAG